ATGGAGAATAGCTGAGCATGTAACATGAGAACCCAGGAAGGGGTTAGAGGCCAGGTGACACCTTTGCCCGGAAAACTGAACAAAGGCTGTGGGAGGGGTCGCTGAAGGCAGAGTTTCAGGAGCTGGCTGGTGGAAAGGCTGGGAGGCAGACGGGGCTCTGACCTCCCAAGGGGGCTGTGGGGTCCTGGGACCCCAAGATTGACCTAACTGTGGGGGATCCAGTTGTCTGTGTGTGCAAGACCTGTCTTGGACTGTGTTCCTGTTGTCTAAATAAACCTTCTGCTTTACTGGCTGGCTGAGAGTCATGGTGAATCGCAGGAAGCCGGGGGTGCAGGGCCTTGTGTCCCCCCACACTCCGTGACACATTTACTCTAATTTGTCCAAGTAATTTTTAACTTGTTCTTTCCCTATTTTAGCCTCTTCTGATCCTACCTCATTTTCACTGGCATTCACTACGTTAGACGTCCAATCACCACCAACCTTCTTGGTGAAAATGGAAACAAAGAAGTCATTAAGCACCTCTGCCATTTCCACTTTTCCTGTTATTGTCTTTCCTCCCTCATTGAGTAATGGGCCTACCCTGTCCTTGGTCTTCCTCTTGCTTCTATTGTATTTGTAGAATGTTTCTTGTTACCCTTTATGTCTCTAGCTAGTTTGATCTCGTTTTGTGCCTCGGCCTTTCTAATTTTGTCCCTACATACTTGTGTTATTTGTTTATATTCATCCTTTGTAATTTGACCTAGTCCACTTTTTGTAGGACTCTTTTTTGATTTTTAGATCGCTGAAGATCTCCTGGTTAAGCCAGGCTGGTCTCTTGCCATACTTCCTAACTTTCCTACACAGAGGGCTAGTTTGCTCTTGTGCCCTTAATAATGTCTCTTTGAAAAACTGCCAACTGTCTTCTATTGTTTTTCCCCATAGACTTGCTTCCCATGGGCTCTTACCTACCAACTTACTGAGTTTGTTAAAGTCTGCCTTCTTGAAATCCATTGTCTTTATTTTGCTGTTCTCCCTCCTATCATTCCTTAGAATCATGGACTCTATCATTTCATGATCACTTTCACCCAAGCTGCCTTCCACTTTCGAATAATGCAGAGGATATGTCACTGATGGAGAGCGATCTGGATCGCTCGGTACACTGGGCTCAGGCAAACAACGTATAAATGTGTTGGGCATATGTACAATGGCAGGACTCTACCCTGGGAAGCAGGGACTCTGAGAAGAACTAGGGGGTCTTGATGGGTAATCACCTGAACATGAACTCCCAGTGCGATGCGGTGGCCAAAAGGGTTAATGCGATCCTGGGATGCATAAAGGAGAATCTCAAGTAAGAGCAGAGAGGTTATTTTATCTCTGTATTTGGCACTGGTGCAGCCGGTGCTGTAACCCTGCCCCCAATTCTGGTGTTCACAGTTCAAGGAGGATGTTGATAAATGGGAGAGAGTTCAGAGAAAAGCCATAAGAATTAATAAAGGGTTGGACAATCATCCTTGTAGTCACAAACTCAAGGAGCTCAGTTTACTTAGCTTAACAAGGAGAAGGTCATGGGATGACATGATCAGTCTGTAAGTACCTACGTGGGGAACAGAAGTTTGATACTAGGCACTTCAGTCTAACAGACAAAGGCACAGCATGATCGAGTGGCTGGAAGTTGAAGTTAGACAAATTGAGATGAGAAATAAGGTGGAAGTTTTTAGCCGTGAGGGTAATTAACTATTGGAACCATTTACCACAAGTTGTGGTGGATTCTCCATCACTGGCAAGTTTTAAATCAAGGTTGGATGCTTTTCTAACAGATCTGCCTTGGTTCAACCAGGAATTAATTCAGGGGAGACCGATGGCCTGTGTGACATGGGGGCAGAGCAGATGATCACAGTGGCCCCTTCTGCTTTATAACCTATCAATTGCATAAAGGATTCAACTTCATTTCCAGTCCCAAACTCTGGGGTCCGGTGGTGGGCTGCTGCAAGGACTCAACAGAATTTGTAGATCAATTACATACATCTCTTCTGAGCCCATCCTATCTCCCTGCCCAGAGCCGCCCGTGAGGATCGTCAGCTCTAATGAGGACGCCGCACACACCTACCTGGCCTCGGAGCGCGTGGTGCTGGCGTGCGAGCTGTCCCGTGCCGACGGCCCGGTGCAGTGGTACAAGGACGGGGTGGAGGTGGAGGAGGGCGAGCACCTGCTCCTGGAGCACGAGGGGCCCCATCACAGGCTCATCATCCCCTCAGCCCGGCCGCAGGACACGGGGGAGTTTGTGTGCGACGCGGGCGGCGACTCCGTCTTCTACAACATCACAGTGACAGGTCGGTGACACCCCTGGTCCCTGGCGGGTGGGTCAGCAGCGCTCCCCCGTTACCCCAGCTGGCAGGTCAGTGACACCCCTGATCCCCTGGCGGGTGGGTCAGCAGAGCTCCCCCATTACCCCAGCTGACAGGTCAGTGACACCCCTGGTTCCTCGGCGGGTGGGTCATCAGCGCCCCCCCGTTACCCCAGCTGGCAGGTCGGTGACACCCCTGGTCCCTGGCGGGTGGGTCAGCAGGGCTCCCCTGATGATTTCTTTCTGGCTATATTTAGTGGGCCAAAGCTTTGGGTCTCGTAAGGAAGATGGTGGTCATTGGGGTCAGCACTGACTGCAAAGGGATAGAGTCCCCCGTACAGAGCCCCCACCCCGCTCCCTCCAGCACAGCGCCCCCTCATGCTGCACAGGGGCACTGGGGCCAGCGCTGACTGCCAGGGGAGAGGCCCCCCACATGGAGTCCCTGACCCCTCCCTGCAGCACAGCGCCCTCTAGTGCCATGCTGGGGCCAGCGCTGACTGTCAGGGGAGAGCGCCCCCTACTGACATCCTGCCCCACTCCCTGCATCACAGGCCCCTAGCATTGCACTGGGGCATTGGGGCCAGCGCTGACTGCCAGGGGAGAGCGCCCCCTGCTGAACTCCTGCCCCCTCCCTGCAGCCCATGGGTTGTCCCTTGCAGCCTCCCCTCCGTGAACTGCTCTAGCTCGGCTCTAGCCCGGTGTGGGGTTGGCGAGGTCGGTCCGCAGGAAGGCCTGAGAGCACAGGGGCGTGTCCTGTTGGTCCTGGGTGGGATGGTGCTGTCTTGTGGGAAGAGGGTCAGGTGTGAGAGCCATGGGGAGCGACACCCTCTCTGATGTCCTGGAGGGGCTGGGCTCTCATCTCTCCTCCCTGTGTTGGGGAATAGGCGGGCGGCTGTCTGTGAGTGACCCAGCCTGCAGCCTCTCTTCTGAGCCCAGCTTGTCTCCCCGCCCAGAGCCGCCCGTGAGGATCGTCAGCTCTAACGAGGACGCCGCCCACACCTACCTGGCCTTGGAGCGCGTGGTGCTGGCGTGCGAGCTGTCCCGTGCCGACGGCCCGGTGCAGTGGTACAAGGATGGGGTGGAGGTGGAGGAGGGCGAGCACCTGCTCCTGGAGCACGAGGGGCCCCATCACAGGCTCATCATCCCCTCGGCTCGGCCGCAGGACACGGGGGAGTTTGTGTGCGACGCGGGCGGCGACTCCGTCTTCTACAACATCTCGGTGACAGGTCGGTGTCGGCTCCTCCCAGCCCTGGCTGCCCCACTGAGCCGTCCCCCCTTTTCATCACTGCTCCCGCCCTCCCCTCTCGTAGTGCCAGCAGCCCCCGTCATGGCCCAGGCCCCCCTCAGCTCAGTGTGTTACAAACACAGGTCACAGGCAGTGCCTCCCAAAGGGGCTCACAGGTCGAGTACGAGCCAGGAGACGGCTGGACGGACGGGGGAGCACATGGAAGCCTGGGCAGCATGATGGGCAGTGGCCGTTGCTCACCAGAAGCCTAGCCATCGGCATGTTGTTTGCAGGCATCCCGGCAAAGGAGAGTCTGGAGAGGGTGGATAATGAGGTCGCCTTGCGGCTGTTTCTGGGAGCACTGCCCAGGCGGGGGGGGGGGACAGCCGGGGAGGAAGCACAAAGGGGCTTGTTTGCAAATGTAACTGGTGGGCAGTCGAGGCACCATGTGCCGATCGGAGGGAAGCGTCGACAGCCAGTGAAAGGGAGGTGGGGACAGGCCAAGAAGCGCCTTGGAAGTGAGACGAGCAGCTTCCGTTTGGTGTGATGGAGAAGGAGGAGCCAGCGGAGAGAATCAAAGCGGGGGGATATGGCCCCAGTGACAGGCCAGGAAAATGACGGTGGCAGCAGCAGGTGAGTGGGGCAGGACGCAGTCGTCAGGGCCGGAGAGCAGGTTGTTGCAGTGACAGCGAGATAAGAGGATGAAGCCTGGACACGAGGGTTAGCTGTGTGGGTGGGTAGGAGAGGCCATATTCTAGAGTCGCTATCCAGGCAGAATCAGCCGGATTTGGACATGGGTTTCTCTCGAGGGCCTCACGTCCCGGCTAAGGCGAAGCTGAGGCCAAGCTACGGGCCTGGATGCCTCCCACAGAGATTGAGAAGTAAGGCAGCAGGAGGGCTTGGGGCATGAAGAACCCATTGTAACTATGTTGGATTCGAGCTGAGGGCTAGACATCCCCCGGGAGAGGTCAGATCCCATGCTGAGATCTTAGTTTGGAAGGAAGTACTCGGCTGGGGAATGGGAGGTGGGGCTGTGAGCTGTCAGCACAGGAGGGGGGGGGGGCGCGAATTTGTGTTTGCAGATGAACCCAGAGACCCGGTGGGGACCAAGGCCAGAGCCCTGTGGAACTCCCCCAAGAAGCTGGAGGGGGTGTGACACTTTCGGGGTTACTGCTCACCGTGCGAGGGAGCCCACTGGGGGAAACTTGCCCCAAACGACCGCTGCTGGCTACACGAGCGCCCCCCTCCGGGCTCCGTGAGCCCTGCTCTTCCCTCCGCAGGCCAGCCATTCGCACCCCCAGCCCTTGGCCCCCTGAGTAAGGCCTTGGGCAGCGCAGAGAGAACCAGTCACTAAATCTCTGGAGATTGTTACCCCCTGAGCTTGGCACAGGTCCTTCCAGCCTGTCTGTGCTCCCCACTGCGCACCCCCCCCCAGTGCCCAGGCCTCCACTCCTGGCCCCCAGGATGCACAGATTCACTGCCTCTGTGCAAGCAGGGCCCCCGTTCACTACCTCCCCTCTGTTCAGCCCTGTCCTCAGCACCCAGCACTTGGCCGGGGCTGCAGTAAAACCAAACAAGGGTTTTGACAAAGCTGCAGAGAGATTCAGACAGAAGCCAAGAGACGGGCTGGAAACACCCGGCTACAGACCAAAGAAAAACACAACCCGCCATAGGCACTGACTCCAGGGGTGCTCCGGGGCCGGAGCACCCACGGGGAAAAAATGGTGGGTGCTGAGCACCCACCGGCAGCCCTCCTATCAACACCTCCCCCCAGCACCTCCCGGTGGGCCCTGACGATCAGCATCTCCCCCTCCCTCCCTGCACCTCCCGCCCACCGCGATCAGCTGGAGGCTCTGGGGGGGAAGGGGGAGGAGCGAGGGTGCTCGAGGGCGGTGATGGAACAGGGCAGGAAGAGGTGGGGGGGCAGGAAGAGGTGGGGGGGCAGGGAGAGGTGGGGTGGGTGCAGGAAGAGATGGGGTAGGGCTTGGGTCAGAGCCAGGGATCCAGCACCCCCCGGAGCCTGTACTACTTGTTAGAAAGTTGGAATTGGAAAAGGTTCAGAAAAGGGCAACAAAAATGATTAGGGGTGTGGAACGGCTGCCGTATGAGGAGAGATTAATAAGACTGGGACTGTTCAGCTTGGAAAAGAGATGACTAATGCGGGATATGAGAGAGGTCTATAAAATCATGACTGGTGTGGAGAAAGTAAATAAGGAAGTGTTATTTGTGCCTTCTCATAACACAAGAACTAGGGGTCACCAAATGAAATTAATAGGCAGCAGATTTAAAACAAAAAAAAGGAAGTATTTCTTCACACACTGCACAGTCAACCTGTGGAACTCCTTGCCAGAGGATGTTGTGAAAGCCAGGATTATAACAGAGTTCAAAAAAGAACTAGATAAGTTCATGGAGGATAGGTCCATCCATCCTATTAGCCAGGACGGGCAGGGATGGTGTCCCTAGCCTCTGTTTGCCAGAAGCTGGGAATGGGTGACGGGATGGATCACTGGATGATTCCCTGTTCTGTTCATTCCCTCTGGGGCACCTGGCATTGGCCACTGTTGGCAGACAGGTTTCAGAGTAGCAGCCGTGTTAGTCTGTATCCGCAAAAAGAAGAACAGGAGGACTTGTGGCACCTTAGAGACTAACAAATTTATTAGAGCATAAGCTTTCGTGGATTACAGCCCACTTCTTCGGATGCATATAGAATGGAACATATATTGAGGAGATATATATACACACATACAGAGAGCATAAACAGGTGGGAGTTGTCTTACCACCTCTGTCACACTTGTTATCTAACTGTCTGTCTGTACTGGGCTAGCTTGATTATCACTTCAAAAGTTTTTTTTTTTCTTTTATTTAATTGGCCTCTCAGAGGTGGTAAG